TATCCACATGGCCGCGGAGACCGCAAGAGAGGGTGCAACTGTGGACATCGGCGGCCCTCTCTCTGGGGCGCTCCGGGAAGAGGGCCTGGAGCCTTCGAGGCTCGAACGGGGCTGCCATCTCTGAGGAGGGGACAAGAACACACAGACACCATCAGTCTTCGATTCCCAGGAAGATATGGGAAAAGGTGGGAAGTGGGGGGGAGACAAAAACCCAGAAAAAAGTCAAAAATATGGTGAATCCTGTTATTTGTGTGTGTGTGTGTGATTGTGTGTGTGATTGTGTGTGTGATTGTGTGTGTGTGATTGTGTGTGTGATTGTGTGTGTGTGATTGTGTGTGTGATTGTGTGTGTGATTGTGTGTGTGTGTGTTTCTTTGTGTGTCCCAGGGGCCCCGTTCCATTTCTTCCGCCGCGGAGGGTGGCGGAGGGTCGGCGGCAGTGAGACGAGGCCGAGCCTCCGCCGGCGGAGGCTCGGCGGAGGCTCGGCGGAGGCTCGGCGGGTAGGAGGTGTGCCCCCAAGAGGTGGACATGTGGTAGGAGGTGTGCCCCCAAGAGGTGGACATGTGGTAGGAGGTGTGCCCCCAAGAGAGGCGGCGGATTCCTCTTTGTGGTTGGATACAAGGATTTTCTCTCTGGCGAGGGAGGATAGTGCCCCAACGCTCGAACATCTTCATGTTGACGAGGGTATGCTTTTGGATGTTGGGCGGCATTCTGCCTTTTGCCATCGTTCGTTCGGCCCGCGGCATTGCGATGGACATGTTGCTGGGTTCGGGGTTGCCGAGATCCTCCATGTGGGGCGTTCCAGGAAGGGTCTCTCGCCTTCGGCGCGCCTCGGCTCGGGGGCAGACAGCCGGCGGAGGTAAAGGAGTCGGCGGAACCGAGCGAAGCAAAATTGAGACGTCTCGGGGGCCCAGAAGCCAGGGTACGTCGCCACGCCGTTTGTTCTCGACGCGCCCAAGTCCAGGGGCCCCCAAACGGGGTGGTGGTCACACCGTGCGGTGAGTCGCTGGGGACTCAGGGTCACTGCACAGTTTTGGGACTCTGGTCGCTCCCCGAGGACGACTCAGGCGATTGGGGCCTCCAGGGTCCTCCAGGGGTCCCAAAACCGTTTCGGGCCTCCAGGGTCCCAAAACGGTTTTGGGACCCTGGAGGCCTTTTGGTCCCAAAACCGTTTTGGGCCTCCAGGGTCCCAAAACGGTTTTGGGTTTGGGGACCCGTTTTGGGACCCTCCAGGGTCCCAAAACGGTTTTGGTCACTGCACAGTTTTGGGCCTCCAGGGTCCCAAAACCGCGTGGCGACGCACCCTGCGGTGAGGTCTCTGCTTGCGGATTTCGAGGTCACCGCCGGGTCTGTCACCGCACGGTTTTGGGACCCCCAACAGGTGAAGACGACGCCGACCGTGCGGCAGACCCACCGGCAGACCCTGCGTCCCCGCGCCCCGAGTCAACGAAGCTGGCACCGCGGCAGGCCCAACAGCAAGCCTTGGGCGCCCGAGGCGGCGTCTACTCCTCGGTGGCCTCGGAGGCCTCCCCAAAACGGAAGGCCGCGCGTCAGAACAAGCGGCGCGGCGACATAGTTCGGAAGAAATTCTGCGAACATGAATGCCGCATTTCTCTGTCAATGCCCCCCCAATGATCAATGTTGGCGGTGGGTTGAATGAGCTGCACTTCGACCGTACAGTCGGGGCCCTGAAGAAGGAACCCTTTTGGTTGGGGAAGGGCTCCGCGTTCCTTAAGTGTTTCGCAGCTTGCCTCAGGTTTTCTCTATGTTTTCGTTCGGACGTCGAAGTTTAGCTTATGGAAGAGAGGGGCCTCGTTCCTTGTTTTGGGCTCCTTGGGTCAAGGCCCCGACTGTAGTCTTCCCCGCCCGTTCCAATTTTGAGTTCGGGGGACCAGGCGCGGGAAGCGGGCGATGGAGACGCGCTGCCAGTGCCGATGGTAGCGCTGGAGCGTGCAGGCGCGCCAACGGCTTGGGATCGGCGGCGGGGGCAACAGCCCCCCACTGAGGGGACTTGGACGCCCTCCTGGTGCCGATGAGCTCCGCCGCAAGGGTCCGCTTCTCGTCGTGGTCCTTGTGTCCACTAGTTGTCCCCCTCGACCGTCTTGCGTGCCCCAGGCGCTGCAGGATCTGGCCAGAGGTCCTTGGGAGAGAACGGAGACGGCCTCGGCCCGCGGCCTCCGCTGTCGCGTGTGCGCCACCGGCCTGGCCTGCCGCAGTCCCCGCTCATCTTGGCATCGCTCGGACGTGTGCGTCTTTCCTTGGGCGAGGACCATCGAGGAGCATCCTTGATCATTTGGCGAAAAAACCACGCACGAAACCGAAAAAAACACAGGGAACGGACGTCCGAGCGATGCCCAGTCATGGGGTCTGGGTAGATCAGGCCTTGGCAGAGCCATCCCTGCGGGCGCCAAGAGCAGACACCACGACCGCCTCCAGACCCCCTCTCCCTCCTCTGCTTTCCTCCTTCCCCCTTCTTTCCCGGGGGTGGGGGGGTGGGCGAGGGAGGTGGTGGTGGTGTACACCCTAGGCGATGCTTAAGAAAACTTAAGTTCTCGGCCAGAGTCTCGATTATTCTTAATGTTTCAATGTAAATCTTAAGATTTTGATAGAAATTGTAGGTTTTTATTTAAATTCTGAGACCATGAATTTCTTAACCCATGATTTCTAAAGCATTTCGCAGGGTGTACACGTTTGGGCCCCGTGATCCCCGCCCACACCGTGACGGGGCAGCGCTGCGTGGGCATCGGCGCCACGAAGCCGGGAGGAGGCGGCACACGTGCCCACCAGCGCGGGGGGCAGCCCGCCCACCGGTGAGGGGGCAGCCCGGCCAGTGGGGACGAGGCCTCCCTGTTGGGCGTGGGGGCTGTTGTCCGGCCACGCGCAGAGAGGGGCAGTCAGAGCCCCGAATCATCAGGGGTAACTCGGGTCAGGGATAACTCGGGTTCCTTTTTCGGGAATCCGAACCCGAGTTACCCCGGACCCGAGTTACCCCGGACAACTCGGGCGTCCAGAGCCCCGAATCATCAGGGGTAACTCGGGTCAGGGATAACTCGGGGTCGTTTTTCGGGAATCCAAGCCCGAGTTACCCCGGACCCGAGTTACCCCGGATAACTCGGGCGTCCAGAGCCCCGAATCATCAGGGGTAACTCGGGTCAGGGATAACTCGGGTTCCTTTTTCGGGAATCCAAACCCGAGTTACCCCGGATCCGAGTTACCCCGGATAATTCGGGCGCCCAAGGTAGGGAGGAGGGGGGAAGGCTTCTTAGAAGCACCTCTGCCTGCTAGAGGGCGCGGGCTTTCTCTGTGGATGTGAGGCCCGCGCCTGCTGAGAAGCAGGGGGTGTTTCTCAGAGGCCTTCCCCCCTCCCCTCCCCCTGCCCCCATCTGCGCGCCGGAGGAGCGTCCGCAGTTCAGGATTTGTTTTTCTGGAGTTGGAGACGCGTCCGTGCGTTGTGAGAGACTTGCGCCCGGAGTGCCTGGCGTCTCGGGGGAGAGCGCGACCTCCAGGAGGAAGTCGGGCCGGGCGAAAGGGGGGGATTGGGAAAGGGGGGTTACGAAATTTGCTGCGTGCAGCTGGTTTCGGCCTCACCGAGGGGCCCGTTCCTCGATACATGGCCGCCTCCGGCAGCGGGAGGCTCCGTGAAAATCAGCTACGGGAGCTGATTCTCAAACCCCCCCTTTGCTATCCCCCCCTTTCGCCCGACCCGAGGAAGCTGCTCCGCGTGCCCACGGGACTGCTACGATCTTGGCCCCGTCCATCTTGAGGTGGCCGCTCGGCTGCTGTGGGCCTGGGGCCTGCGGCGCAGGGGCCCGTATCCTTGACCTCATGGCCCACGCTCTTGTGGCCGCGCCTCGACTCTGCAGTTCAGGAGCGAAAGAAGGACGTACATGTACATGAATCCACGCTGGTTTCGAGAGTACGCATTGCGCAAATGTTCGTAGAACGCGGCCGGTCTCGCGGATCGAGGGGCCGTGTTCGTGTACATAGCTGGGCGCGTACGTCCTTTGTGGGCTCCCTAACAGTGTGAGGCAGCTTCGGCGGGAGCTCGCTTTTGACCTGCAGCCGCTCTTCGCTCGTGCGCTGTCGCCGCACCCAGCAGGGACGAAGGAGTCGCCGAAGGAATGCTGGCGGCACGCTTGCTCTCTCGGCTCACCCGTACAGTTGGCCGATGTCGTTGGCCAGCCCTTGAGGGTACCGTTGAGGCGTGTCCCTTTGGGGCCAGGGTCCGCGCGAGGGGTGCGCCGAAACGGGCGCGGGCACGTACAGTCAGAATTCATAGTAAGGACGCGCGGGTGTCCTAGGGTCCTAGGGTACCCTTTGCGTCCTTGCCTCTGCGGCCCGTCTTTCGCGGTGTTCACTGGCCAGCCCTTCAGGGTGCTGGCAGTCTGCCGCCCTAAAAATGTGCCAACAATTTCGGGGTCCAAGGCCCTTGCGTCCTTACCGCCCGTCCTTACTATAGAGTTCGACTGTATGCGGTCGCGCCCACTGAGAACGTAGGAGGAGCTCGCCATGGGGGCACGAAGCGTGTGATGTGAGGGTTGCGCCGAACGAGCTCAGTATGGGGCGAGGTCCGTGCGCTGGACGAGAGAATTGGTGAGTGAGAAGAAGGCAGAGGAGCAAGCGGAGGCGGACTGGGAGACGGTGGCGGGAGGAGCAGGAGCTGAGGCGCGGCGCTGCGGATTCAAAACGAGGACCCGATAACACGGGGGGCTTGGACAGAGCGTTGCGATTGCACGGCAGCTGCGCGCCGCGCCGACGCGGCTGCCACCTATGGCGCGGGCGTCCGAGGCTGAGCGCCACCCTGTGGCCCGGCATCGGCTGGCATCGACCGATCTGCGCTCCCGGGGAGAGGCGTGGCTTGCTCTCGAGATCGCACGGCCCACGCAGTGCCGCCGGAGACCGGCGCGCACCGGCCGCCCCGGCGGGGCGGGGGGGGAGCCCTGCCGCTGAAGCCGTGCCGCCTGCGGCTGCTGCTGCCGCGGGTGGGTGCACCCCGGGCAGGTGGAGCGCCGCATCGCCGCGATGGAGAGAGGGCCCCAGGCCGTGCTCCGGCCCGGCCCGGCCCGGCCCCGCCGTGATCTCGGGGGCGGAAAAGAGGGGGGTGATGACTAACGGGGGGGGGAGATCATGGCGTGGGCCATGATATATTTCCCCAGATCTCATGGCGTCTCTTCTTATTTCATTATGTCCCTGGCCCCCCCGCTGGGCCGCGCACATGCCGCCGGTCATGATTTACACCCCCCCCTCTTGGACACCCCCCTCTTGGCCGCTCCCGATGATCACGGGGGGTGTTCTGCTCATGGGTCGGAGCAGCGAGAAGCAGAACTCTAGTAATGGTAGTGGTGCGTGGGTCTTCGCGAGGAGCCCGGACGGCCAGAGCTTCCTCAGGTTCTTGCAGGCTGGCATGGATCATGCAGCTCGTTTTGTGTCCAGCTGGGACTCCGATCGCATCTTCGCATCCCTCTCGCCCTCAGGGAGGGGAGACAGTCCGCCTGGATGGCCCAGTCACCTGTGTGCGGCGCGGACGCCAGCAGCACCCTCCCTCCAGCTGGGCGACGCACAAAAAACTAGGTTGTCTGCGCCGACACTGGCGCGTAAGCTGCCCGCGTGAGGCCGCGCGTAAGCGCTCTCGGTCTCCAACGCAGCTTGCCGCGTTGGCGGCCCGCGTAAGCTGCGGCGTAAGGTCGCTACGTCATCTCGCGTACAGTGGAATCCATGCCACGAATCACCCTGCTTGCATCCAGCGTGCCCTGGGTTTCTTGGGTTTCGATGGTGTCGCTATGGAAAGCGTGACGTCCCCACACCACAAGTCGACGGCCGCCCTGAAATCTCGGGGTTGGGTTTCTTGTGGAAGGTTTCTTGTGGTCGAGCTACTGCTGTAAGACCCGTTTTTGAGCGTCGTTCCGCTTGGCAGCGGGCGCAGGGGCTGGATGGAAAGCGGGCGCCAGGTGGCAGGGAGATTGTCAGGGAGGGAGGGGGTCCTGGGGGAAGCGGGCCTTTCGGAGGCCTGGAGGTCGGCATGAGCATTGATATCTGCCTCGTGCCTTTGCCTTTGTCTGCTCTCCGTCGCCCTCCTCCTCCTCCTCCTCCTCGCATCCTCCTCCTCCTCCTCCTCCTCGCATCCTCTCTCTCTCCGTAGCCATTTTGGCTCAAGGCTTTGAGTTCCCCTGTGGAACAAGTGGATACCGCTAGTCCGCGGCTAGACTTCGAGTTCTCATCGCACCGCTGCGTGAGTCGCCAGGCGACGCAGCCTCTTGATCCCGTGCTGGTCCGCCCCAGCACTGGACACCGCCTAGTTGACACCTGCGGTTGCCTGATGACCCGTCAGAAGTCGGCCAATGGCGCGAAGAATCAGAAATCGTCATACACCACCTGCAGCTCCTGTGGCGCCTACGTTTGCAGCATGGGAAGTGCAAGGTCTGTGGCTCCCACGTCTCGGGCTTCGAGAATGCGCCATGGATCCGCTCGGAGCATACCCGTGCCCCGTGGGCGCATTCGGACAAGGCTGAGTGGTCGACCCCTGCATGGACTCCATCGTCCAAGGATTGGCCTCCGCTGCCGAGTGGTGGGGCATTACCACGACTCTCTTGGTTCGTTTTCGCGCCCTCGCTCGCAACGGGGCTGACCCGTGTCAGGCTGGTGACTGCTTGTCCCTACTTCGTCGGCATCTGCACAGTCTGGATCTGCTGGAGAGGGACGCTTACTTCGGCAAGAAGACCACGCTAGAGCTCGCCGAGGCGTGGGTTGCGGATGCGGGCATCCTGGAGGAGCTGGAGGACGATGCGCTGGACCATTTCGTACAGCTGGCCCAGCGCTGGTCGGACTGGGCCTTTTTCACGGGCAGTGACAGCATCCAGGGCCAGCTTCATGGCGTGGGTGCGCGAGCAGTGGCGACTCAAGCCAGGCTTAGTGCACCGCCATGTCAAGCCAAATCCTCCACCTGAATGGGAAGGTGCTGGCCCTGATGGCTGCCCCACCAGTCACCCTCAGCTCCTGTTGGAAGGCAAGCGCCAGCTCTGGTCTGAGATCTGGCGCGAGCAGGTGGACACTCAAGAGGACCTCCACTACTGGCTGGACCAGTTGCATTCGGATGCCTTGGAGGAAGCGCTGTTGGGCGCCGTGCGCTGGTGAACCTCTTGAACGATATTGAACTATCAGGGGTGTGGCCTGTGGAGCTCACGACGGTACTCGGGCCCTCCATTCCAAAGGAGGCGGGCGGTCATCGAGTGCTCGGTCTGATGCCTCACACGGCCAAGCTGTGGAGCAGGATGCGTTCAGCGCCGTCTTACTCTTGGACGGAGAAGCAAGGGGCCGTTTGGGACACGGCGATTGCGGGGTCCTCAGCTCTGCGCGCGGCGCTGGCTAGGGCCATCCTGGATGAATGTGCTCGCGAGTTGGGCGTGTCATGCGCCGCGCTTTTTCTCGATTTGCAGAAGTTCTATGATTCGATCAGTTTTGTGCTACTGATGAAGGCCAGTCGTTCTCTTCATTATCCCGCCATCATCACTGTCCTGGGGGTTGGTATGTATGCGGCACCTCGTCTCATCAAGCGGGGTGTCTTGGTCAGCCCTGCCCTGGAGCCTGGCAAGTCTATTGTTGCTGGCTCTCCGCGGGGGTGGACATGGCCAAGGTAATGCTGCACGGCCTCCTCCAGGAGGCCCATGTGGTGAGCCCGCGTGCTGGGCTGTGGACATTCATCGATGGCACTGCATGCAGGACGGAGGGCGTGCGAGCCACGGTGATCGGAGACATGCTGACGGCCGCTCAGTCCCTGGCTCACTCGTTCAAGGACCACCGTTTGACGATCTCCGACAAGACTAAGCTAGTTGCCAGTGATGATGCGCTGGGTTTGTCTCTGGTCACCTCCCTGAAGAGCATGGGCATTCCAGTCGCCCACGCCTCCTCGGCTGTCGACATGGGAGTTGACGCAGCTGGCGCTCGACGTCGCGTCCGACCCAAGTTTCGTTCTCGACTGGTCAGGGCTACCGCGCGCCAGGGCAAGATCCGGAAGCTGCGGCGACTTGCTGGCGCGTGGCCTCTGGAGGGCAGGTGTGCTACCCTCTGCTACATATGGTCATCAAGCTCATGGAGTTCCGCCCTCCTTGATGACCAAGTTGCGTAGGCAAGCTTCGGTTTCGATTGCTGGCCACAAGAGGGGTCGCTGTTTACAGACGGCATTGCAGGCTACTCTTGGCACAAGCGACCCCCCCGTGCAGCTTCGACGCGATGCACTCACTGAATGGTTTTGGATGTGGATTGCGCGCCCGCACTTGCATGGCCGCATTTCTCGAGTTTGGCCTCGTGTTCGCGATGGACTGGGTGATCGTGTCCGCTGGCGCGGGGTACGCGGGCCCATTGCTGCCCTTCAAGCTACCTTGATGCAGGTTGGCTGGGCGCCCTTGGAAGCCACCCGTTGGCGACGCTCAGGTGCTGAGAGGCCAGTGGGCTACGCGTTCCTCTCCTTCGGCGATGATGGCTACAGCGACACCGTCTTGGAGGATTTCAGTGAGCTCATGGCGGACTTTGAACATGACTGCAGTGCTGATGCCTGGCGCTTGGCCGCCAAGCATCCTGATGGTGAACAGCTCGCTGACGGAGCCGACTTGCATGGGATACAGCGTGAATTGGAGGCCTTCGCCAGGAAGGGCGACATGGACTTGTGGGGTGCGACGGTCTCGGACACAGCAGGTGGCCAGTGGGCGCAGCAGAGGCAGCACGACGCTGGGTACCAAGTCGATCGTCGGCGCCCTCGGTGCAGAGCTGCCCCTGAGACGCTGCGCCACCGCATCTGGGAGTGTTCGAAAAAATGGCCCCCATTCTGATTGCACGTCCACGGACGCACTCATCCCTCAGGCGTTGGCGAATGCTGACCTTGATCCTTCCTTGTGGCTGAGGGGAGTGCCCTCGACCAGTCTCACTGTTCCTAGATTGCAGGAGGGACCTAGTTTCTCTGACCCCATTTTCTTCGGCCAGTGCTTGCTGAAGGAGCTCTCGGCCCCTGCGGGGCACCCCCCTCTACCTGTTTGGGGATGGCTCAGGGGGCGAGCACAGCTCAGACGACCGTCGGAGACGCTGCGGAGCAGCGGCGGTAGTCATGCGTCGTGCTTTGTTTGAACGGGGATCCTTCTGGCGCCATGTGGCTCCCCGTCTGCGGCGTGGCTGCCTGTCTCTCAGGACGACGCCAGACTGCGCCCCGATCAGAGCTCTTGGCTCTGGCCTTGGGCCTCGAGAATTCGTCTGGAGATATCGCTTACGTTTGCGATTGCAAGCCTGCGGTTGAAGGCTGGAGGTCTGGCCGCGCTGCGCGGCCCTATGGCCGCAATGCTGATCTCTGGGTTAGGGTGCTGCAGGCGGCCAAAAATCGTGGCCCTGCGTCCGTGGAGGTTGTCTGGGCTGCTTCCCACCTGGAAGCTGAACCCGAGCGCATCACCTCACCTGTTTCAAGCCTTCCTCTCTCACGGCAATGCATGTGCTGATGTCTGGGCGGGGCGGGCGGCGAGGAGGGGTTGGGAAACGTCGGTCAGACACCCGATTCCGTTCACGGATCGTTGGGATGTCACTGCCTTGCTTGTGCGCAGAAGAGTTCGGCGCGCTCTGATTGATAGTGTTGCGGCTGCTCCTGAATTCGGTCCCAGAGCGTCCAGGCCCAGGGCCCAGTTCAAGTCCAAGCTTGCTAGGGCCTTGGACTCCTCGTCGCATCGCCTGTCGCGGCGCAGCAATCGTTGGGGGTGCTCTGGCTGCTCGCAGATAGTGCCTCGGACTAAGCTCCTGGAATTCGCGGCCACGATTTGCCCAACGGCTGCAGGGCCTGTTCCTCCCTCCTCCGCCGCTGCCCTCGGCGAACGCTTCCTCGGAGACGGTTTCCTGGCGGTGGGTGGGGCGTCCAAGGTTGGAGGCGTGGCCTTGCGTCCTTCCCATGCCCTGAGGGAGTGGTCCCGATACGGTTTCAAGTTTTGTGCTGTTTGTGGGATCACGGCTGCGGCTGACGGACGCAACCTGGCCAGCCCGCGCCCCCCCCCCCCCCCCTCCCGCAGAGGGAG